AACACTATTTTCAAGCAGATTATAAGAATGGCCAAACTGGATCAGACCAGTGGTCCATCTAGCCCAGTGTCCTGTCTTCCACCAGTTGGCCGGTGCCAGATGCTCCAGAGGGAATGAACAGAACAAGTCAATTTATTCAGTGATCCATCCCTTATCATCATCGTATCCCAGATTCTGGCAGTCAGAGGTTTAGGGATACCCAGAATATGGGGTTGCATCCCTGACCATCTTGGCTAATGTCATCCAATGGACCTGTCCTCCATGAACTTATCTAATCTGTTTTTGAACCCAGTTATACTTTTGGCCTTCACAACATCCCTTGGCAACAAGTTCCACAGGTTGGCTGTGTGTTGTGTGAAGTACTTCCTTTTGTTTGTTTTAAACCTACTGCCTATTAATTTCATTTGGTGATCCCCTTGTTCTTGTGTCATGCGAAGAAGTAAATAACACTTACCTATTCACTTTCTCCACACATCATAATTTTATAAACCTCTATCATATCCCCCATGAGTCATCACTTTTCTAAGACGAACAGTCCCAGTCTTTTTAACCTCTCCCCATAGAGAAGCTGTTCCATACCCCCAAATCGTTTTTGTTGCCCTTCTCTGTACTTTTTCCAATTCTAATATATCTATTTTGAGATGGGGAAACCAGACGTGCATGTAGTATTCAATGTGTGGACATACCATGGATTTATACAGTGGCATTTTGATATTTTCTGTCTTATTAACTATACCTTTCCTAATGGTTCCTAATATTGTTAGCTTTTTTGACTGCCACTGCACATTGGGCAGATGTTTTCAAAGAACTATCCACAATGACTCTTTCTTGAGCTGTAACATCTAATTTAGGACACCCTCCCCCCCAGTATTTTGTATGCTCCTCGGTCGATAAAGCAGCTCTATTTCATTTTGGCTTAAACAAATAAAGCTTAACCTAAGTCATATTTTATTAATCAAAATGTTTTTCCAGTTTCCTTAAATTCTAACACGTTATTACAAGTAAAAGTATTTTTAAAACTTAATTTTCTTTCCACACTTATGCTGTATATTGACTTTTTTCACATCATTCAGTATTGTACAGATAATGAAAACAGACTGTTGGTTTTCACTCTAGCTTAAAGTCAATTTCATAATCAGGCTCTGTTGTTTTAATTTAGGGGCCCAGGTGTTAGCATAACCCAGTCATTGTCCAACACGAAAAATTGTTAAACAAGGTCCAGAATTTGGTATACAGTGGCCTTGGACTGCTTAGTACCATGGCAAACACACCATTAATTTTTTTTTAAACTTTTATTAAAGATAAAGAAAAGAAGGGAAAAACAGTTAAAATATTTGAAATGTAAAGTATTAAGTAAGGCTTTCATTTTAACAATATCCCTTGTTCCCTTTCCCTGGCAAGAGATTTTAGAAGGAAAACACCCTTGTTTGACAATCCACGTAGATGGTATCAAAGATGGTAATAACTGTCCTTTTGGAGAAAGGAGAACAAGTTAGTTGAGGTGGGCTGGAGCTGCTGTTATTGCTAAAGTCTGATCCCATTTCACCCCAGGAAGTGTTTGGGATTCAGCTGGACTCAGCAGAGGTGAAAATGTCATCAAGGTCCCTCTTTCTGGCCCAGCTGGTCAGGACACCTCTTAGGGTCACAATGACAAAGGCCCAGGGTCCCATGAAATGGTGAGGGTGCAGGCACAGTGGGGAAGCTCACTCCAGTAGCCAATTTTTTCCCTCAAAGTCTCTTTCTTTAAGGACCCAATAAAGGGGTTCCACACACTGCAGGTGCACCTCCTTTTGGCTGGGTCTGGGAATTAGCTTTTGCCCCACCTGGCACCACCTTCTGTCCATCACTCATGCTGTGGCCCCTCTCTCTCTGTAACTCAGGGTGCTCGATCTTCGTAACTGAGTCCTCCAGCCAGGTCACTATATAGTCCCCTCCATTCTGGGGTAACAAAGTCCCATGGGACAAGCTGTCCATATGCCATCTCAAACAATCTTCTATTCCAACTCCAAGTCCTGTGCCACTTTGCCAGTGGCTGGTAGAAGAACTCAGGCCCACCCACTATTCCGGGATCCAACCCAGGGACACTATGACAATCAATATAGGTCTCCTTAGTCTCAGACCCTATTGCTCTTTCTCTGGGCTCCTTCCTACCCCATCTCTCTATCTCATTGCCTATCTCTGGATTTTCCACCAGAACTTCCTCCACTCCCTGTGGCTTCTTCATCCTTAGGCCTCTTGTCAAATTCCCTGGTCCAGGACTGGACCCATAGCTTACTCTCCCCCTGCATTTCCTCCTTGACTCTAGCCAATCCCCTTTTCCTGTAGGGGGTGTCTGCAGATCTCCTTGTGCTCTCATTTCCTGGCTTTATACTCCTCTCTCAGCTTCTCCCCCAGCTGGACTTCATCTGCCATTAAAGCTTATCAAGCCCTGGCTTTACTCCAAGTGCAGCATATAAAGTTAACTGGCCTCTTCTGGCCCATATTAACCTGCTCAAAACTTGTGTGGGGTGAACCACCCCATCACAGACCCAAAAGGAAGTGATGGGTTGAATAGCCCATCCTCTCATTATTTTGTCCACCAGTTAGGCCTCATTTCTGACACACCAATTTTGGTTCACTGATTTCTGGTTCCACAATTTTCTTGTTTGCCAAGCATGATCCTAACATGGTCCTTGAATATGAGTAGGCCTTTTTGTTTGGACTAATTCAGTCTGTCTCCCTTTCAGACCTTCTCCCATCAACATTCATTATTATAGGCCAGAGGTCGGCAACCTTCGGCATGTGGCCCATCAGGGTAATCCACTGGAGGGCTGCTTGACATTTTGTTTATGTTGACCCTCCGCAGGCATGGCCCCACACAGCTCCCAGTGGCCGCGGTTCACCGATCCCGGCCAATGGGAGCTGCGGGAATGGCAAACCGCAGCCACTGGGAGCAGCATGGGGCCATGCTTGAGGATTGTCAACATAAAGAAAATGTCTTGTGGCCTGCCAGCGGATTCCCCTGATGGGCCGCGTGCTGAAGGTTGCCAAACCCTGTTATAGGCTATTGTGACCTCTTATTAACTTACATGTATTTGTTACAGTTGAGTTCACAATTTGTAGCCCCGATTATCTTGGGGAATGGATTGGATGATTTGGGGACTTCATAGTGGAATGGGCCCTTCCATGTTTGTGGCAGCTATTCTCATCCACCATCTCATTGAATGAGTTTGGGGTGTTCAGCCTATTTTCTAATGAATATGTGCCCTGCTCTACATCTTCAAGGTCCTGATCCAAAGCCCACTGAAATAAATGGGAGCTTTTCCACTGACTTCAATTAACTTTGGGATCTGGGCCCAAAGGTGGACAATTATAATGAAACAATAATAAACACTCTTTTGGAGCAGATCCAAGGTATGAAGCACCTCAGTGCTCCAGCTATTCCTAGCTGCCAGACTTGCCAGTATGAGCTATAGCCACCTGAGCATATATTACAGCAGCTCTCAGACTACTCTAAACTTACAACATAAACAGGAGCAGTCATCAGCCAGCACCAGAATTCAGGGGTCACAAAGGTGGCCTTCACCCTTTGAGCCGTACAGCTCAGACTCTGGGCCATAGCCTCAAAACAAAGAGAGACCTTCTCACTCTACTCTTCTGAGTGATAGCCACCTCATTATGTGATCAGGGCAGCCTCCTCCCCACACTGGCCCCACACTTTTTCTCAGTCTGCCTAATATATATAAAGCAATGGGGCTTGGTTGCGTTATGAGTGGCTTTGACACTTCACATGCTCCTGCCTGGTCTCTGAATCCTCCCAGTAAACATAGGAAAGAGAGGGGGTTTCTGCAGGGCCGTCCTTACCCATATGCAAAGTACGCAGCTGCGTAGGGCACCAGATTTCCTGGTGCCCTGCGCAGCTGCATGCTGCTCCAGCCCCTGCCCCGCCTCTTCCCCAGGCTGCCCACCCCTGCCCCGCCCCAGCCTCACCTCTTCCCGCCCCTGCTCCGCCCCACCTCCGCCCCCACTCCACCCCTTCCCCAAAGCCCCCGCCCTGCTCCGTCCCCACCCCGCCTCTTCCCGCCACTGCTCCACCCCAGCCCAACTCTTCCTTCCCCTGAGGAGTGCAGCAGGGCCAGGCTTGCACTCATCAGCGGAGGGAAGTGCAGGGACCCGGCCCCCAGCCGCGTCGCGGGTGAGTGCTGGGGGGGTGGTTCCCTCCTGCCTCCCAAGCCAGCCCCCACCATGGAGGCCTGGGGCCAGCCCCCCCACCTCTGCCGAGGCCTGGAGCCCCACACACACACCCCCGTGGGGGGCGTTGCATAGGGCCCCAGAATAGCTAGGGACGGCCCTGGGTTTCTATATTGGACTCATGTGGCCCCAGTGTCCAGAGTCCTTTTAAGATCCAGACAGGTACCATATCATATGACACTCCCCTACTACACATATTATTTTCAAAGTGTATAATGAGTTTGGGCACACACACATACAAACCATTAACTATTCAGCAAACCGTTCCACCTTTAACTATATTTAGATGGAAATAGAATTTTTCTTCTTTCATTGACCATACTTGGTAAAACAAGTCCAATAAAATTCATGTTTTAATGTATTTTTAACAGCCCTGATATTTCAGGGAGGAGGGGGGAGGATAATCTTCATTTAAATCTCTCTAGGCCAGTGATTCTCAACCAGGGGTATATGTATCCCTGTGGTTACACAGAGATCTTCCAGGAGGTACATCAACTCATCTAGATATTTGCCTAGTTTTACAACAGGCTACATAAAAAGCACTAGCAAAGTCAGTACAAACTAAAATTTCATACAGACAAAATGAGAAAGTAAGCAATTTTTCAGTAATATTCAGTAATACACTTATATTTTTATGTCTGATTTTGTAAGCAAGTACTTTTTAAGTGAGGTGAAACTTGGGGTATGCAAGAAAAATCAGCTTCCTGAAAGGGGTACAGTCGTCTGGAAAGCTTGAGATCCACTGATCTAGGCTGTTCCTGCCAACTCACCTTTTTCAAAGACAACTTCCCCATGTAGCACGGTATCATTCCCTCTGAGCACTTCACCTCTCACTGTGACTTGCGGAGGACTGTCTGTCAGCAGAGCTACCCCAATTGTCACATTTGCACCAGGCCTAATGTTCCGGGGACCTGTCACCAGAAATGTGGGTCTGGAAAACATAGAAGGGGAAGAGGAGTAAATCAAATCTACTCATTATAGTCTGCTATTTAATAATCTTGTTTTACAAAAGGCAATAACTGTGTTGGTGACAAATTCTGTATTTCTGCTGTTACCCACACACCCTACTGTGCTTATGTACCAATGCTAGAAATCTAAATACAGTAATAAGATGGGTGAACTAGAGTGCCTCATATTAAATGAGGATATTGATATAACAGGCATCACAGAAACTTGGTGGAATGAGGATAGTCAATGGGACACAGTAATACCAGGGTACAAAATATATCGGAAGGACAGAACAGTTCGTGCTGGTGAGGGAGTAGCACTATATGTGAAAGAAAGCGTAGAATCAAATGAACTAAAAATCTTCAATGAACCAAATTGTACCATAGAATCTCTATGGATAGTAATTCCGTGCTTGAATAATAAGAATATAGCAGTAGGGAATGTGTTACCAACCATCTGACCAGTGACTGTGAAATGCTCAGGGAGATTAGAGAGGCTATTAAAATAAAAAACTCAATAATAATGGGATTTCAACTATCCTCATATTGACGGGTACATATCACCTCAGGACAGGATGCAGAGATAAAGTTTCTTGACACCTTAAATGACTGCTTCTTGAAGCAGCTAGTCCTGGAACCCACAAGAGAAGAGGCAATTCTTGATTTAGTCCTAAGTGGAGCACAGGATCTGCCCAAGAGGTGAATATAGCTGGACCGCTTGGTAATAGTGACCATAATATAATTAAATTTAACAGCCCTGTGGTGGGGAAAACACCACAGTGGTCCAACACTGTAGCATTTAATTTCAGGAAGGAGAACTACACAAAAATGAGGAGGTTTGTTAAACAGAAATTAAAAGGTACAGCACCAAAAGTAAAATCCCTGCAAGCTGCATGGAAACTTTTTAAATAGATTTTATTTAAACACATTTAATAGACGCTCAACTTAAATGTATACCACAAATTGAAAAACATAGTAAGAGAACCAAAAAAGAGCCGCCATAGCTAAACAACAAAGTAAAAGAAGCAGTGAGAGGCAAAAAGGCATCCTTTAAAAAGTGGAAGTTAATTCCTAGTGAGAAAAATAGAAAGGAGCATAAACTCCGGCAAATGAAGTGTAAAAATATAATTAGGAAGGCCAAAAAAGAATTTGAAGAACAGCTAGCCAAAGACTCAAAAAGTAATAGCAAAAAAAAATTTACATCAGAAGCAGGAAGCCTGCTAAACAACCAGTAGGGCTACTGAACGATCGAGATGCTAATGGAGCACTCAAGGACGATACGGCCATTGTGGAGAAACTAAATGAATTCTTTGCATCGGTCTTCACGGCTGAGGATGTGAGGGACATTCCCAAATCTGAGCCATTCTTTTTAGGTGATAAATCTGAGGAACTGTCCCAGATTGAGGTGTCATAAGAGGAGGTTTTGGAACAAATTAATAAACTAAACAGTAATAAGACACTGGGAGCAGATGGTATTTACACAAGAGTTCTGAAGGAACTCAAATGTGAAATTGCAGGACTACTAACTGTAGTCTGTAACCTATCATTTAAATCAGTTTCTATACCAAATGACTGGAGGATAGCTAATGTGATGCCAATTTTTACATGGGGCTCCAGAGGTGACCCTGGCAATTACAGGCCAGTAAGCCTGATTTCAGTACCGGGCAAACTGGTTGAATCTATAGTAAAGAACAAAATTGTCAGACACATAGATGAACATAATTTGTTGGGGAATATTCAACATGTTTTTTGTAAAGGGAAATCATGCCTCACCAATATCCTAGAATTCTTTGGGGGGGTCAACAAGCACATGGACAAGGGGGATCCAGTGGATATAGTGTACTTAGATTTTCAGAAAGCCTTTGACAATATCCCTCACCAAAGGCTCTTAAGCAAAGTAAGCAATCATGAGATAAAAAGGAAGGTTCTTTCATGGATTGGTAACTGGTTAAAAGATAGGAAACAAAGGGTAGGAATAAACGGTCAGTTTTCAGAATGGAGAGAGGTAAATAGTGGTGTCCCCAGGGGTCTGTACTGGGTCCTATTTAACATATTCATACATGATCTGGAAAAAGGGGTAAAGAGTGAGGTGGCAAAATTTGCAGATGATACAAAATTACTCAAGATAATTAAGTCCAAGGCAGACTGCAAAGAGCTACAAAAGGATCTCTCAAAACTGAGTGACTGAGCAACAAAATGGCAGATGAAATTCAATGTTGATAAATGCAAAGTAATGCACATTGGAAAACATAATCCCAACTACACATATAAAATGATGGGGTCTAAATTACTGTTACCACTCAAGAAAGAGATCTTGGAGTCATTGTGGATAGTTCTCTGAAAACATCCACTCAATGTGCAGCAGCAGTCAAAACAGCAAACAGAAAGTTGGGAATCATTAAGAAAGGGATAGATAATAAGACAGAAAATATCATATTGCCTCTATATAAATCCATGGTACACCCACATCTTGAATACTGCATGCAGATGTGGTCGTCCCATCTCAAAAAAGATATATTGGCATTGGAAAAGGTTCAGAAAAGGGCAACAAAAATGATTAGGGGTATGGAGCGGCTTCCGTAGGAGGAGAGATTAATAAAACTGGAACTTTTCAGCTTGGAAAAGAGACAACTAAGGGGGGATATGATAGAGGTCTATAAAATCGTGACTGGTGTGGAGAAAGTAACAGGGCCGGCTCTAACTTTTTTGCCGCCCCAGGCAAAAAAGAAGAGTGCTGCCCCCCCCGCGAGCGCTGCGCAGCCGAACCCCCCCACCCCCAGCGCTGCCGAAATCCCCGCCCCTCCAAGCGCCATGCCGCCCGAAGCCCCGCCCCTCTGAGCGCTGCGCCGCCCAAAGCCTCTGCCCCGCCTCCGAGCACCGTGCCGCGCCAGCCCCCGCCCCCCCCCCGAGCGCCGTGCCGCCCCAGCCCCCGCCCCCCCGAGCGCCGCATGCGGAAACAAAAAAAACCCCTCCAGCGCTGCCCCGACGAACCAAAAAATAAATAAATAAATAAAAACCCAAGCGCCGCCCTGCCCCAAGGTGCCGCCCCAAGCACGTGCTTGGTCGGCTGGTGCCTGGAGCCGGCCCTGGAAAGTAAATAAGGAACTGTTATTTACTCCTTCTCATAACCAGGGCCGGCTCCAGGCACCAGCATTCCAAGCAGGTGCTTAGGGCGGCAATCTGCAAGGGGCGACAGTGCATGCATTTTTGCCGCCCCAAGCAGTGCGCCGAATTGCCGCCGCGGACAGCAGGGGCAGCCCGTTTGCCGCTAGGGCGGCACATGCATTTCTGCGGCTGCGGCAATTCGGCGGCAGCTTCATTGCCACCACCACGGAAACGAGCGTGCCGCCCTAACAGCACACGGACTGCCCCCGCCATCCCCGGCGGCAATTCGGCACACTGCTTGCAGAGGCAAAAACAGTAGAGCCGGCCCTGCTCATAACACATGAACTAGGAGTCACCAAATGAAATTAATAGGCAGCAGGTTTAAAACAAACAAAAGGAAGTATTTTTAACACACTGCACAGTCAACCTGTGGAACTCCCTGCAAGAAGATGTTGTGAAGGCCAAGACTATAACAGGGTTCAAAAAAGATCTAGATAAATTAATGGAAGATAGGTCCATCAATGGCCATTAGCCAGGATGGGCAGGGATGGTGTCCCTACCCTCTGTTTGCCAGAAGCTGGGAATGGGTGCCGGGGATGGATCACTTGATGATTACCTGTTCTGTTCATTCCCTTTGGGGCACCTGGCATTGGCCACTGTTGGAAGAATACTGGGCTAGATGGACCTTTGGTCTGACCCAGTATGGCTGTTCTTATGTTCACCCTACTGTATGTTGGAGCAGAGGCTTATACAAACAATGTAGGCGAAAGCCTAATGGGGAGAAATTGTCTCGAGTAAATTGTACTCCATTTTGCTAGCCTTGAATTAGTAAGTAGAAATTGTTCTGAGTTTATTCTTTGCTGATTGTGTTAATGATTGTTCTTAGAAAGACAGAAGTTTTATGGCTGTAATTATTGGCCTATTTACTGTTTGGTGTGTGAGTGAAGAATGTATGGTATACTAATTAACTGAAAAAAGACAGCTGGGCCAAATGATCAAGAGGGGAGGGGAGGAGTCGAGAGGCACCAACTTTATTATCAGAATCACCTGGATGGCAGATTGACGACCCTAAAGCAAAGGCATACACCCCAAGGACAAGATATAAGGAGTTGAGCCAGAGGGACGAGATAAGAAACAGCTGCAGATCCTCCCGGTAACAACTCAAAATAATGATGATTAAGAACAACCTTGAATACCTTGTGATTGACAGGTGTGCCACAGCAAGGTCCATAGGTTTGTATGGGAGCTTATTACTATAAAAGAAGGGTGTATTGCCATGGGACTTTGGGTTCGTTCTGCATCAACATCGGAGCTTCGAACGCGTTCACCAGAGGCCCAGCTCCCCTCCCTCATGTACAGTTTCAGCTGGCCACTAGAACTGACCGAGCAACACTAAGGACTGGTAACTATAAGATCCAGCTGCAGAACCTTTTGGGGTGTATGTGTGTGTGAGCGAATGGAAGCATATGCTGATTTTAATGCTTAAATTATGCTCTCAATAAATGCGGCGGATTGCCTTATCCCCTTTTAAAAGATTCCGTGTGCTTCTTATAAGCATAACAGCATTACTGAACAAGCCCAATCATTTCACCTCCCTCTAATAGAGGGAAATTAAACTGAAGATACTTTATTGATAAGGTAGTGTCGGTGCCAGTGTCCAGTTTAACTCATTCGTTCTTTCCCATTTTAGTAGTTAGCAATCAAGTCAGGAAGCAAACTTAGGAGTTGGCAGATGTGATTGCAGAGCCATTGGCCATTATCTTTGAAAACTCATGGCAATCGGGGAGGTCCCGGATGACTGGAAAAAGGCTAATGTAGTGTCCATCTTTAAAAAAGGGAAGAAGGAGGATTCAGGGAACTACAGGCCAGTCAGCCTCAC